GATATTTGCATGTTATAACATATATAGATTTGATATTTAAATGTGTGGTGATTATGGTTTCTCTTATGTTTAGGAAAATGAATTTGTTGAAGTTCATGTAACAACAAGTGAAGAAGAAACTTTAACAAACAAAACAAGTGAAGAAGAAATAATGAAGGATAAAGACAAAAGAAAAGCCATCATTGACCTTGAGGAGGATACATGGCCAAAAGAGGAAACGGTTTCAAACACATTTGAGGTAAACATTTGTCATTGACTAGTTGGTCAAACGTAAAGTGGAGAATCTGATGAATATGACAAGTGCTATCTTAAATTATTTGAAGACTTTGTGCAAATTTTTTTAAAAAAATTTGCCCTACATTATATACAAATTAATCTTTTTTATTTTTTGGAAGAAACATGGAGAAGTATCCAAAAACTGTGAGCATTTTTGGATATGGAAGGATGGTCTTGGTCATTTTTGCTGGAAGTGTGACATCATTGGCAAGGTTAGTGACTATTCATTAAGATCATTGAATGTGAGACATGTATTTAATTTCATTGATTTACTGATTAGAAACATCCGTTACCACCCGGCTATGGATCAAGCAACGTCAATGGTATAAAGTTGGAAGTTCCTGAAAATGGGTTTTCAGGTACTGGTATTTTCCCCCATCCCAGGCGGAAAACTTGTATGAAGCCTCATCAAGTCAAGATACTAAATTTTCTATGCAGCAACTTGGCTGTAGAAAACCCTAATGGATGTATTCTAGCTCAAGCTCCTATATCTGAAAAGACCTTCTTGATGATCAATCTCATTCATGGTTATCTTGTCAAGCATCCGAGTGCTAAGCCTCTACTTGTGCTTCCAAAATCGATGATTAATTTTTGGAAAAAGGAGTTTCAGGGATTTGAAGTCAATGACATCATGTTGCTGGACTTCTACTCGGCCAAAGCGAATACGCGACCCCAGCAGTTAGAGGTTTTGAAGCAATGGATCACTAACCGGAGTATCATGTTCTTGGGCCACAAGCAATTCTCCAACATGGTGTCCGACAAGAATGATACACAAGCTTCTAATGTTTGCAGAGACATTCTCCTAAATGAGTCTTCGCTTGTCATCTTGGATAGAGGAACTGATCCGAGGAACGAGATGATGAGCTTTCTTAAGGTCTTTGCTCGTATCAAAACGCCTCGTAAACTTTTACTCAGCGGGACATTATACCAAAGTCACGTCAAAGAGGTTTTCAACATCATTGATCTTGTGTTCCCCGAGTTTCTGAAGCAAAGCCAACCTGGATTTGTTACCAGAAGATTATTAAATGTTGATGCGGACGCTACTGGAGCTACATTGGTTTCCTTGTTTGATACGTTGGAGGAAGCTATTCTGAGCCAATATACACATCATGGTGACAAGATTGGTTGTTTAACGGAGTTAAGAATGTTGACGAGCAAGATTATTTATAATCACAAAGGAGAGCATCTTCTTGAAGACTCATGCTTGGTGGACTTGACGGTTGTCCTCAAACTGACTTTGAACCAAAGGTCAGCATGGGAGATTGAAAGAAATTCCAAAGGGAAGGGTTTTAAAACCTACTCTACCTTGAGTGGAATCACACTTCACCCCAAGCTATGTGTGTTCTCGGACCGACCCAAAGGTCTTCCTGCTCCAAGCGAGGATGAGATGGATGAGCTTCTCAAAGACGTGGACGTGTTAGATGGCGTGAAAACGAAGTTCTTGTTGGATTTAGTGAAGCTATGTGGTTACACAAATGAGAAGATACTTGTGGTGAGCCAGTATGTCATCCCATTGATGTTTCTCCAACGACTCATGGCTAAGACCAAAGGCTGGAAAGATGGCAAAGAGACATTCATGGTCCAAGGTATGACAAGCCTCTCTGCTCGGGAAAACGCATTTAATCAATTCAATAACTCGCCGGATGCGAAAGTGTTCTTTGCATCCATCAAAGCGTGTAGTGAGGAAATAACTCTTGAGGGTGTAACAAGGGTTGTAATGCTCGACATTATCGTGACCCCTTCTATTGCTCAACAAGTCATAGAGATGGCATATCATCCCGGCGAGGAGCAGCAAAAGAAAGTGTATTCCTATAGACTGGTGGCTGCTGATACGTCTGAAGAAGATCAAGAGATGAACTCAGCTACGAAGGAGATTGTTTCTGGAATATGGTTTGATGGGAACTCATATCCACTCGATGGAAAACTTCAGATTCCAATTATTGACGCCAAGTTTATCGATGATAACTTCCTTGAAGCTTCTTTTATGAGCGAGGACATCAAAACCATTTACAAAAGGTTGGTTATTAGTTTCAATTTTTAAAATTTTTTTTTTCGAAGTTTTTTATTTAACAATAGTTATTACTTTTTCCCCAGGTAAAACAAGGACTCCTAATTGGATGAATGGATGAAAGTCAACAATGTCTCTCTTATGTATTTTATTTTGTTTTCAAAATAGACCGATTAAGTGTTGTATTTTTCGGCCGAATAATTTTATTTTTATTTGCTTCCTTCAATCAAACTTGAGCTTTCGACAAAAATGATTACTCAATCGTTTTGGTATATAGTTTTGGCTTAATTAATCAGTTTGGATTATCAATCTACATATAAGAAAATCATATATTTATAATTTATTTTAATGAAGGATAACATTTTATATTGATATATAAAATGTAAGAATCCAGTTATTTGATCCAAGGGAGAAAAATCAATACATATTCTGCCGAAATAGGCAATACTACTGTCGTGAAAACAAAAAATACTACTTGAAAAAAAAAAAAGACAAACACATAAAATGTGTAAGTTGATTGTGATTGAGAGGCAGAACCAAAAGAGATTAGGATCAAGACTCAGACAGAAGCACGAAACAGCATAAAGAGCTTAGATTGATTTCAAAGAGATCTTAAACAAGGCAAAGACATATTTACTTTATTGCATATAATATGTTATATTTCGACCGTTCTATTTTGTTGAGACTTTACTATTATTGAAGGTTTAAGTTTTAGTTTTTTTTTTATTGTTGTCTTTTATATTAACCGATTTAGGGTTTAATTACTTCTAAATTATCAAAATAAGTATATGTCACTCTTTTTTGGCATGAATTCTACATAGAAGATTGTTGCAATCCATTCTATATACTTTGTCGCATGCAATATGTTATATTTAACCCGATCTATTTTTCTGCGACTTTACTATTATTGAAGGTTTAAGTTTTAGATTTTTCTATGGTTGTCCTAACCGATTTAGGGTTAGTTTCTTCTAAATGAATCAAAATATGTCACTCTTTTTTGGCATGAATTCTACATAGAAGATTGTTGCAATCCATTCTATATACTTTGTTGCATGTAATGTATTATATTAGACCGATATATGTTTCTGAGACTTTACTATTATTGAAGGTTAAGTTTTAATTTTTTCAAGTGTTTTCCTTTATAGTAACCCATTTAGTGTTGAATTTCTTTTAAATGAATCAAAAGATTGTTGCAATCCACTCTAATAAAATTTATCGAAATAAACGAAGATTTTTTTTTTATATATGGCATATTTTGAATTTTTGAAAACGGGAAAATATATTTTTAAGAAAATAAATATATAATGTGAACAAAAAGTATTGTTCTATATAGAACACACTCATATAGAACGCAATCTCATTATATTCTAGGTATTACAATGATAAATAAAATAAGATATATTTACTTTGCTTCATGTAATGTGTTAAATTTAGACTGATCTATTTTTACATGTAATGTGTTATATTTAGATTGATCTATTTTTTCTGAGACTTTACGATTATTGAAGTTTTAAGTTTTAGTGTGTTCTATTGTTGTCTTTTATAGTAACCGATTTAGGGTTTAATTTCTGCTAAATTGATCAAAATAAGTAAATGTCATTTTTTGACATGAATTCTACATAGAAGATTGTTGCATTCCATTCTCTATATACTTTTACGAAAGAATATTATTTTTGAATTCTTGATTACATTGTATAATATCATTTTTGTTACGAAATATGATTCTTATTTGGAGTTACTCTTTTATGGTTAGGGTTTACGCATACCCTAAATTTTGTTCATTTTCGTAAACTATTAAACACACGGTTCATTGTTATCTTTTTATACTACTATTTTTGCTTCGTGCGATCTATATAGAATGAAAAATTACATATTGTCGAAAAAAATGTTTGGCTAGTTTACTAGTTATACTATAATTCTTAAACATGAGATGCAAATCCTCAATTCAATCTCTAAAAAGAATAGCCACCTTTTCAATGAATTCAATCTCTAAACATAATAGCCACCTTTACAATGAATGATGACGACTACTTAGAGATTCTAATGATAAACTCCAATCTTAAAAACAGTGGAATTGTAATTATCCTCCCTAACAAATAAGGAAAAAAAAAAGTAGTTACATG